CAGGAAACAAGACCGACAGGATAACCAGAGTGCATGCAGATAAAGAGCGAGTAATCGGCAGAAATAATATATAATTATATAAAATGATATAGAATATAATTTACATCATTGCAGCACCTGATTTCACCATCTCTATGAAAGCTCTGTTTTAGTTTCGGTTTCTTTAAAACCCGCCTTCGTAAAAGCCTAGTTATTCTGATTGGTCAGTTGTCCCCAGTCTGTTGTGATTGGTCTACTGCTGTATCGGCGAATATGAGCTCTGGAGGCTGCTCGAGACTCGGCAAATACTACTGTAACTACGTCAACTATGGTGTCAGTTTTGCTGTATCAGTTTGAGCCTGAGTCTGATAATGAAAATCATGATAGTGACCTTTGCAAGCACAACTTGTGTAGGATGTTACACAGTATAATCCTTTATTTTATTTCAGATGTGATGTTATAACTGTTTAATTTCTCTACATCACAATAAAAACTCACTGACCTGCATTGAAAAGAAGCATAATAGGTCCCCTTTAACACAATTATGCTTAGGTGTACTTGGCTTAAACTGACAAGTTTACAGAAAAGTATATTTGGCCTTTAGATACACTAAAGAAAAGTATAATTAAGTATTGTAAGTATACGTGCCTTGTAATTGTGTTTATTCTTTTAATAGATAAACTTATTTAATATATATATTATTTATTTATTTATTTATTTTACACATAATTGCTTCTTTGTGGTAATACTCCAGCATATGTTTTACATATAAATTCACATGCTCACATTTATAGTAAGTCAGCCTTGGGGAGGGGTAGCGTAGAGTTAAACCAAACCTGATTTATTTGTACACAGTGCTATTAACCCACACAGAAACAGATAAACATTTGGATGAATTTATTGACAATTCTTCCAAGGTGAGATTATTATAACCGGCTTGATTCACAATGGCTTCTATTTTAAGCTGTTACCAGAATAAATCATACGATGAGAAAACTTGAACTATTAAACTAGTAGTTTTCTAAGAGTATCAAATTCTTTTAATTTAATGCTTTCATAAACTAAAATGTAGGCCAGAAGTAGCCTATATAGCTAATAAACTAAAAGTCAATACATATAAAATTATTTGAAGTAGGCTATAGTTAAAGTAGTTATAGTCAAATTGCAACACAAAAGTAATTACAGTTAAACTTAAAATTATACTTGAATGAATTACTTTAAATGAACATACAGTACACACATTTATACAAGCAAGAGTTTGTTTGTCAGTCGCCAGCAGCACACACTCAAAACCAATGTTACTCGTATGGAGCAGAAACAACACAACCTCGTTGTGCAACGCATCCGTTTTCAGGTCTTCCCACTTAGGTCTCTCCGGCGCTGGAAAGCTTTTCTAATATTAACACAGGTCCTAAAGCTCTTGCCTGATAATAACCCTTCTTTTCCCAGTGATATTCCTCTGACCTTTTCTCTTTTGTAATGTCTCTCAGCCATCTCTCTTTCTACAGTTTTTCAAATCTCCCTCTTGCTCACTCTCTCTCCTCCCATCATGAGTGGACATGACTCCTACTGCTGATTGGCCACAAGTTTGTTGTGGTGCTCGGTTCGATCCACTTTCAAAAGCGTTTTTTTTTTTTTTTTTGAAATCCCCCCCCCCCCCCCCCCCCCAATAGCGTCACCCCTGGTAGTGACTATATAGGACATCAAGAAAAACGTAGTTACACTGAGGGTGCTTCTTAATACTCAAATTGATGCTTCCTCGTTTTCTCGCTCCTTTGTCCACCAGCCTGTGACCCGGAAACCGATCGAACTCAGCCATCTTGAAGGACATTTCAATTCTCTAATTGTACCAAAAGGAGCGAGGAAGCTTCCTGAGGAGTCATGAGTGAGGATACACAGATGTATCCTTCCCTTGCATCCTAAGGGGGTGGAGCTAAGACGCAAGGAAAGGAAGTGAGGCTGCACATAAGAAATGAGAAGCTCCCTGTGTGTACTCATTGTCCCTTCCTGTTATCCTCATGTTAAAGGAGAACTCCGGCGCAAAATGAACCTTTGGTCTAATTACACATTGTTACCTAGTCAACCGTTATCTGAGATTTGTTTTCATGATTATCGAATGTAAATAGTTTTATCTCTAAAAACAGTTTAGCCTATAAAGCTAGTATAACGCTAGTATATTGGGCATCGAGTAATGACAAATAAAAATCGCTTGTTAATACCACTAACAAGGCTCAAAATAGCCCCACACTAGCACGGTAGCATAATGAGGGTCCCTACCTTCAAACCGAAGCATTGAGAACTTTGTCAGTGTCCAGACAGTTTAATAAGAAGATATTTAATACATACAGTCAACTTCGCGTATACAAGCAGAAGCCATCTTTGAAAAGCAGTCTCTACCAGTCGATCTACGAACGCCTACAAGCTTTAATACAAAGCTTGATCATGACATGAGTTGAAAGCTATAGTTATAGTCCAGCCCGTTCTCATCCTTTGGCGTCATACATGTGACGCTTTGTACATTTCGTCGAAATCTTACGTACATGGCATCCTTTAGCATCAATATGAGACGCAGAAGCCAAGGCGTCATACAGGTGACGCTCGTCTAAATCCGACGCACATGGCATCGTTTAGCGTCAATATGAGACGCAGATCCCAAGGCGTCATAACCGTACCCTACCCCAGACCTAAACCTACCCATAACAGTGCGTGTTATATTGACGCTAAAGGATGCCATGTGCGTAAGATTTCGACGAAATGTCAAATGGCGTCACCTATATGACGCCAAAGGATGAGAATGCGTTGTTATAGTCATAGTTGCATATTTTAAATAAATTTTGCTCTTGCAAAATATTTCAAACAGGACTATACTGTTACTCATTTTTAGTTTTACTCTAACCCCTAAATCGAAATATTAAACTTTGACATGTAACTTGTCTAATGTCTAATGTCAAATCTGGTTCGATGAAACAAAAACACATTTGAATAAAAAAATCAATGACAAAAAAGGAGAATTTGCTTGTAATTTTTATTTAATTTGGTTATAACATTAACAGCTAGAATTCTAATAGCAGAGAGCAGGACATACAGTGCATCCTATGTGGTCAGTGAAAAAAGCAGCAACAACAGTTTCTGGTTGCTGGTAAAACTGTTACACAAAACAACATTTTTTCCACACAAGTAATAATCTTTTGTCAGCAAATATATACTCTTACTAATATATACATTACAGTAAAATAAATAATCATAAAAAAATCCTCCGACTTTAGAAATCCATAAACACAGAACTAGTCTGTACAAAACTTTGGAATTTAAGACCGTGTTTAGAATACAAATTGAACTGTGTGGAAGCAAACAATCGAAATTTAGATGCAGTGATGTACACATAAAAACAAGAAGTATTGATTTTGTAGTTAGGGGCGGATCATAATGTTAAATAAAGCTTTGTGCTGAATAGGGCATGTGCTTTGAAATGATCCCTGATTGATGAGAGATTAAATCAGTGTGAGATGGGCAAGAGAAAACTTGAGTTCATTCATCTTTGAGGAAAGATCTGTGAAAAGAACTTCTGCCAAAGAATTTTACAAGCCGGGGTTTTATCTCTGCCTTCTCACATCATTTCCCTGCGATATTAGACTGACTTATAGTTAATATATTGCAGGGTATGGTTACTAGATACAAATAGATACAGATACTTACACACAGGACCATAGGTATGATCACAAAATATTCTTCAGAAAGTTGGTTGTATATAATTTTTCATTGCTACTCTGTCAAAATATACCGTGGCTTTTAATAACACCATATTCAATGCATCTCAGATTTCATACAGTACATACATTTTACAAGCTATTGTTCAAAAGGAAACGCAAAAGTGTTAGAATATCTCTATTTGGTTAACGAATACAAACTCTATCAAGATTCCATTAGTAGAAAACTTCACATTTTAGTTGTTAACTATGCTTACACAGTGTCTTTCACAGAAAGAAGAAAACAAAGAGTCATGCACATATACAGACACATTTACATACAAACATCAAGACACTTACAGTAGATTTACACAGAGAAAAACAAATCCACAAGCACATAATCACACATAAATATAACAACAAACCTGTAAATAGTTAGCAGCATTATAAATGAAAGTAGTTCATTTAGTTTCTGCACTGCTGCTAACATTCAAACTGGGTAGGTAAAGTCACAATAATAAAAACATTAATTTTGGTCATGGATTCACATATAATGGCTATTAAAGACAGATGTGAAAATACTTGAGTATTACAATTGTGAATAAAAACTAAATAATTCATTTTGTCATAGCAGAAACAAAACCTATAATCAAGGTCCAAAATTAACCTTTTACCAAACTAAAATGATAATGACAATAAAACTTTTCACCACCTGTCAAAGGTGGGTGGATTAACAAAAAGATCTTCTGTTTAGCATTAGTTTCTTTTGAAAATAATAAAAATTATTATTATTATTTACCCGCATTTGACACTTTTGATTGTTAATTTTGGACCCTGCATGTAATGTTTCAGCTAGTGAATAAAGGCACAATTACCTTGTATATTCATTCTGAAATGTCATAAACCTCTCTGTCTGTGAAATATTAATAATACTGTCACATACAAACAGGGCAAATGAATATCATGCTCCATTTCAAGATAGAAGTGCTGACATCTTTTTGTTTTCGCTTTTAATAGAGTATTGATCTTTGGGGAAAACTGGGTGTTTTCACACTAGCACTTTTGGAGCACACCCGGATTAGTTTGACGTCAGAGTTCGGTTTGTTTGGATGAGTTGGACGATGAGAACGCTGATTTCCGAACTCAGATGCGCACTCATGAACCCAAACTCGAGTCCACTTTATAGTCTGTGGTGTGATGTGAACACAATTGTCCTAAATCATTGAAGTCAAGTGAATTGATGGTGTGTCATTCTGTGTTGATGGTTTGGAAACAAAACCAAAGATGTACAAAACTGAGCCTGGCTGTCCATTTTGCAGCCTTCTCCCGTGTAGTTGTTAACTAGCAACAGGGGTAAACAGCTGCTGCATTGATGACGCAAACATACCATGGTTCGGATTCAAAAATACAGTGTGAACACAATCCAGCAAGGTCAGGGAAAAAGGGGGAGCAAGTGAACTCTGGTTTGGACCAAGCAATCGAAACAAGTGTGAAAGCAGCCTAAACGACATTAGTTAGAAGACGACTTGATATGTGCAATGAGTTCTAAAATCATATCAAGAAAACAATGACATACAATGTATAGACATTCACTCGGGGACAAGTGCATTCATAACCTAATGTTAGTAACTTACTATAAACTCAACCTAATAAGTTCAATGTTTGGTCTTACACACAGAAACAACATGAAGTTAATTATATGTTGTAAAGGAATTTGTTAATTGGATGTTTGCTGGTATTCAGGTATGTTGGAATGCACTTTAAAATATGTATTGAAATAAGACACAAATAGCTTCTTTAATGGTGTTAGTAGTAAGGCTATTGTTAAAACGCAACTATAAACATATTTCAGAGGCGCTTGTGGGCAAACCCTGGTATTCGGTTTATGCTGCATTTGTTTTTTCAGAGTTCTCCCATCTGAGTTTGCTGCCACGTGCCGACAAAACCTCTCCCTTTTAAAGATTTTCTGTTCTTTTCTTGGAGACACAATTGGTCAAGGTCCCAAGGGCCTGAGTCTCTAGTAATCTGATCCATCACTTATCCCCTCCCATATCAGACTGGAAACGATTAGTCACTTCCAAAGCTGAGCCACAGGCCCGTGTTTGTCCTCAACAATGGTCCAGGTGGAGAATAAAGGATTTATGGGTTTATCTTTTTGTCTGTTAAAACAGCATTCTTATCGAAGGTCTTTTAGAATTACTTTACTGTCCACTGTATCTTTTTTGTGATTGTCTTATTAGTGAAACCACAAACTCAATTCAACTCAGCCCACAAGTTTCGGAGAAAGGCCCTCGAATGTTCACAACCCCAAATGTCTAATCTGGTCCAATCTGGTTTTGGTTTGGTTTGGTGCTTACTTGCAGGTGTGGACATCATAAACTCGCGTACACTCCTGGCAACTCACGTAGCAGCACCAGTGGAAAATGCAGTGGCATTTCTCCTTGCGTTTCTCAGTTCGAGTGTTGTGGCCTCGGCCGCAACAGAGCAAGTCGCAGCCATCGATGCCGTGTGATGTCAGGTTACACATACGGTCACGGGTGCCAAAGGAGCCGGTTTCTGGGTTGGGTTCACAGAAGTTAGGTGAGCTTTCATAGTAGACAAGGTCAGTTTCAATAGGGGGCTTGAAGAAGGTGTACTTTGGCCGTAAGGTCTCGACCCAGCCTCGTGATTCCCGATGTTTCTCCACCACCATTTCTGATGCGCTGTCATACTTATCCTTCATGTAGTCGCCTATCACCCGGAAGTCAGGCTGCGACCACCAGCAAGTTTTCACCTCACAGCTGCCCGAAAGTCCGTGACACTTGCATTTCAGGTACATGTGGTCAGTGATTGACTAGGGAAAAATAGGAAAACAGAATATAGATCTTAGGACTGGATTGCATGCTATATGTTTACCATAGAAGCATTTCAATTTGCAATTTTAAGCTACTGGGGAAACAACTGCATTTTGTATGCTAGTCCCTTGGTTTCCTGACCAGGCATTTGTAAATTATTCGAACTGACTTGTTTTCAGAAAGGATATGCTTATTCACCAGCAAGCAGCATAAACTAACCTAAGCATATACTAAACCTGAGCATAAACTAACCCACCAGAAAGGTGAATAAACTAATCTGAACCAAAGAGAAAAAGCATTTTGGTCTTTTCAGCAGGGTTTTGTTAGGACCAGGCCAGCATAACCAGGAAAAAAGTGCTCACCACACGTCCAGCTTCGTTGTTGTGACGATTCATAGCAGATCGAGCATCTGGACGATTCTCACGAGCATCTGCAAACTCTCGTGATACCATGCTGCCAAAATCCACATCCTCACTGCAGCCACCCCACTTCCAGCCCTCGCCTGGTGGTCCTTTCCTCCGCGTGTCACAGCCGCAGATGGTGGCAGAGCCCTCGGAGCAAGCCCGCGTCACAGCGAATGCTACCCCCGCTGAGGCAATTGCATGGACAAATGCTGACTCTCTGGTGGCTATGGAAATGTACAGAGAAAACAAGCAATGTTACATGAGTTACACCTCAGGACGTTATAGAGAAGTTACGGTTAATTGGGAGATTCAATTCTTTGTCCTGACATTATTGTTCCCATAAAAATACTCAATTCAATGAAACATCTTATGAGCATGTGGTTAAATTTGTAGGTAAAGGCAGTTCACGCGGGTCTCTTTGTGCACAAGATGAGGCATTACTGAGGCATGAGTCAGGGAAGACCAAGCATATCCTTTCAGATAAGGTAAATACAAGGCTGACAAGTCTATAATTAGAAAGACTCAATTAAGCAACTCTGAGGTGGAGAAATAGACCCGTATTACTCATAGCTAAGACTCACTGTCGAATTGTGGTAACAAGACCCAGCGCGTTACTTTCAGAATTAATTTGAAGAATGAACAATGCAAGTTTTTGGTTGATTATAATCTCAAAGATGATCCAACATTCTGTCTAACAGGGGATTTTATGACAATTCTTGCTGACGAGGGCCCCATACAAACTTAAAAGCATTTTCCAAGAGACAGCTAATGAGGTTGGTAATTTTGATAAATACTCTGTGGTCTTGTGCAGTCTTGCACTTGCTGGAGAGAGGAAACGGCTACGGAGATGTGAATCAAGTCTTCCTTTGTTGCAGGTTTCAACTGGTTGGAGAAATCAAGGCTAGAGATAATGATGTTGCAAAACTGGCCACAAGTCTTTCTTATTCCTTAATGCTAATTATAATGACAAAGAGATTTGGTGCCTTTGAATGTTTCGATTGAAATTACCACCCAAAACAACGTTTCTTTGTTCTTAACTACAAAAATATTAAAACCTATATCAGTTTTTTTTTTTTTTATCTGTACCACAGATGCCTTTGATTTCTCTTGCGCAAACTAGCAACTTCTGCTTCCATATCCATCACCTAAATCATACAGTGACTGGGGGCCAATAGCCAGGCCTGAAAGGGCCATTAAATTACAATTTAAAACGAACTGAGTGGCCTATGTTTTATGATCAGGAAGCCAATAAAATGTGGGTCAAATACGGCTGTCTGACAATGAAATGGCAGACTGATCGGGGGAATAAAGGAGAGACAGCATTGGGGGAAAGAGGGGGCGGATTAATATCCAGAGGAACAATGGATAAAAAATGGATAAATAGGAGACATAAAGACACTTTAGAGTGGTAGGGAGTCTTTACCTGAGAAAAGAATGCAGGTGAAGCCCGATTAGACTGATTATTTGTGACAACAGTTGGCCCCTTCTGCCCACCTTCTGGCTAACTTTGCTGGACGCTCACATGGCAAGTGGTCCCTGTTACCTGCTGGGATCCTGAATCCCCCATTCTGCTGCCACTGTCATGGTGAATTACACACACAAAAGCCCCCCGATATTTTATATGAAATTTGCCCTTGCCAGTGATTAGTGGGGACCAAGTTAAGTCATAGCAACAGAGAACTATGCATTGGCTGGACCCCACTTGTCGGCAGACGGGGAAATCCCCATTGAAACGGTTTAATAAAACAATCTAAAGGGCGTGTGAATTGTGAAAGGAGCTTTCTCTCTGGCTTAATCTTATGGTCGCCTAGATATTGTGTGGTGAGTTGGGCCCAGCAGGAGGCGGGGCTAAGGTCCCACCATCAACTCAGTTTGCCACACCCCATTCTTTCTTTCTTGGGCAGAGTTAATGATATGCCGGTGAGCAGACCTCCCCCATGCACAGTTAAACATGCATTTGATGAAAGGCATGGTGCTATCAGTACATCCTAAATTGTAACAGTTTCTCCTCCTGAGGGCAGAGGTCATAACCCGGGTAGCCTGACCTCATGCAAAGTTGGTTTAGATGAGGGTGTTAGCATTAAGAGTCATGGGATTCCTTTACTTTACTTTGTTGTGGTGGCCAACGCGGTGATGCCCCTTAAGGAATTCCAATGAAAAGGGGTTTCATTGACACCCAGATGCAATTTTATTGCTTGTTAAAAGTCTGAGGAAATTGCAAAGAAAAGCTATTTTGACAATATAGAGGTACATGTACGTAAAATGCCACTAGGCCACAAAGTTATTTGTGTGTAAATAACCACTTGTTACCACGTCTGCTTTCAGTAACAACAGAAATCTCAAGTGACAGTAAAAACACGTTAATTCTGGTGTCCAATTACAGCTCGCATGCGACTGGCAACGTTATCTGCTAAAGGTGCGTTCATCACACTCTTCAAGAACACCTGCGCTGACTCTCCTTTCATCGCGAGCGGATTCCAGTGGGCCATGTTTTGACACTTTGGTTAATGTAAATTAATGAGCGCTGATGCAGACGTAGCCCGGGGCAACACTGTAAAATAGAGAGGTGAGGCTGAGATTGGAGAGGCAGTTTATCTTTGCAAAACAATGCAATACAGTAGGCGTACAAAAACAAGCAAAGCTTTGTAGCAAAACAGACCGATTTTCCATGCATAAGTTAGTGACTAGGTAACCAAAGAAAGCTGACAAATGGTATGCATCAGTAATCAAGTATCAAAAATAAAGGCCTTTGAATGAGAAGTGTGCACTTTCTACTCCTGTGTTCCCACTGAAATTTGGCAAAACAACACTTTTTTCCAGACAGGTTTCCAGAAAACTCCCCTCATCTGCCAAAGGACAAGCAAACAGATGCCGCCCTAATTCTTGTCATAAGTTGAGCCAGTGACTGGGATGCTTAAACAAACATTTTCTGATAGCCATACAGGGCCAGACTGTCACTTCATAGGAGTAAGTACATTTCTCTGCTATCACCTCAAATGCTGCAGAAACATGTCTGCTGAAAGTACCAGATCTCAGACAGTTCTGTGATTGTCAGTAACAAGCCACTGAAGACCTATTAAAGATCAGCGCTCCATTCAGCCCAGCACAAAACAGAGGAGGAAACCGGCACATATCCGTCTGCACCGCAGACATTAACACCACCACACAATAGCACCAGCTCCGCAAAAGTGACAGCGTTAGTCACAAAGGAGCGAAAGTGAGAGGTGCTCTTCTTTAAGCTCTATGAAAAGCTTCTGAGCTTCGACGCGGTCCTTAAACCGCCCCCAACAAAGCACTTAATCTGCCCGCTTTGACCTCTCACATTATTAAGAGCTTCAGAAGCTTTAATCCAATCAAAATGATTTACTAAAGCCACCCCTGGACCCCGATGACTGACCTGGTTTAAACCTCCATCACCCCTGTCCCAGACCAATCTCCCCTTCAATTTAGACCGGAGGAGGGGGAACTGCAGGGGATATAGAGTGGCTATTAACACTACAATGGAGAAGACCTGAGCAGTCCTCCCATCATCAGTGACCCGCTTGGGCTCAAGCCCTCTCCATCAATGTAACAATTGCTTGAGAGTTTATTAAAAGCAATTGGCTCGGCTGACACCGCCTTCCACCGTAGCCGGTTCATCCCAACTGCGGCTCCTCGATGGGCTTTGGCCCCTTGTACCCTGACCCCTCGTTTCTCCAGGACAATGAGAGGGGAACTGATACAACAGTTGGGAATAAAAGCAGCAACAGGTAGCCAAAAGCCTATTAAACACATCTCTACTTTTTTCAAAATCTAGATATTCCAGAGCAATTTAATTGAAATTACGAATTGAAGACCTAACTATATTCTTACAGTAGCTCAGCTGTTTAAAAAACCACAAGCTACTTCAACAAAGTGTAATGGTGTTATGTGACAAAATATTGCATCGCTATTTTGTAATATGGTATTTCACACACAGCTTTAAGCCAAGTGAACAGGTAATAAAATAAAACCCCAAACTGGCCTAAAATACCCCTTTTCTCACTGGGAAGTCTGATTGGCTTAAGTGAAGCAGTTTGTTTTTAAACCAGTTCAATCCATTTTACTGAAACATTTTGTGTCTGTTTTTTGTAGTGGTAAAATCAAATATTCCTATTGTACAATCATTTTAATAGCAATGTTATATTTACTTAAATGTGGCTATTTATCACTGATTTCAACTAAGTTATTTAAAAAAAATGAATAAATAAATCACTTAATAGTTATGTATTTAAAAAATATTAACCTCAAACAGCTCAAAAACCTCAATAGATGTAGTTTACTACAATATTTACGAGTACCTTGTCAATTCAATAGCATAGCAATAATGCTTACCTTAGCAAAATAGTTGATTTGGGACTTTTGCTGAAAATGCCACCTCAAATCTACATAACCCTAAACTATGTGTTATGCACAGACTTGTGTCTCAGACAAGAATCCCAACTGATTAAAGACCAAAACAACACATTCATAACTTCACCTTAGACAAACACACACGCTGGCAATGTAATCCATTTGAGCGGTGAAGTATGTCTGTTAATGTGTGCGTGTTACACACACAGTGAGATACTTCTGAAGTGCCTTTAAGGAGCGTCAGTGTGTTGCTGCTGGGAGATGCATTACTTTTACTGTGCCGGGACAAACGCAATGAGAAATGTGGGGATTCCCTTCGACAGAAACAAACAAAACATGTCCCACCCACTTTACACGCGTACATCACTACATCTGTACAAACGGTCATAGTCCAGTGCACCTGACTAATGCCTATTGAGAGTGGGATTAGAGAGCAGCAAATAAATAATGTGCACAGAACAACAGAGTAATCTCAGCAATCAGAGCTGTGTGCAAACAGGGACTTTTGTTGTAATTGAGAAGCCATAATGTTACATAGCCACTGAATACAAAGAAACACAGTGTGAAATATGATTTTCAGCTAGCTTTCATTATGGGTTGAATAAAGGCTGATCACATTCCTGCTCTTAAAAATGTAGAAATTGTGGCTTTTTGAAATTCATAAGTGATTTTTTTTTTTTTTTTTACATCTATAAGAATCAGCCAAAACATTTAAAATCAGCATATGTATATTTGGAACCATCTGATTTATAATTAATATTGCATAGTATAGACTGATTAATAAACCCATATCGGTTGACCACCATTGCAAAACAGTGATAACGTCCTGTATATATTTGGGTGTGGTTGTTACCAGTGGCAATTCCTCTTCTGTTCCCAACTATCTTCTTCAACTATCTCTAATTCCCATTAATGCCCATGGATTCTCTTATCGTATTCCTACCTTTATCCAACACTGGTCCGAAGATGGCCAGGTTATCATTGATAGTAGTGCAATTCCATCTGCGGCCACGGAACTGATGCTGACACTCTTGGATGCCGATTTTCACCCCCTCTGCCACACTAGGCATGATTTCCACATAGTTGCGGCAGAAGCGGAGCTGTTTGGGCACCAGACCAGGAATTGAGCTACACATGATGGGCTGGGTACCCAAAGAAGTGTACTGGTGTCCCACCGCCAAAGACCTGCCGAGGAAAACATGGAGGTGAGCAACTGACTAGTACAAACCAGATTTGGGTTAGAACTTAATTTTACAGTCCTGTTATGTGCATACTATACTTACTATAATAATTATAATAACGGCGTAATAACTTAGCACTAACCATGACTCCAAACCTCTTCGGAAAATTCAGTGCAACTGTCTTTTTTCTTGCTTTCTCTTGCTTTTTTCTTTGCTAAACTTCATCGCTATCTAATTTATGAATGTTGTCTTGATTACCGATAAAATGCGTAGATTTGAAACAAATCTAATAGCTTCTGTGTATCTAGAGATAAAGTGCAGAATGAATGAATATCCCTACTGAAAAGACCAATAGAACAGAACGGCTAGTCCGCCTCTTAATGTTGTTTTGCTGATGGACGGACCTGTTTAGCACGGATGTGTCTGGTTGAGATGGATTACCCACGTATTCTCTCTGGTTTGGCTAGTTAAGTAGCCTGTCAGTACACTAGCATTCTATGCTGGGGTCCTACATCCAAACCGAAACATTTGATGCTCATATTTCAGATGGAATTTAATTTAAAATTAGCTTAAAACACAGACCCTTCTTTACTAACTACACATGCTTACAGCATTATAACGGGTGTATCATTTACAAGGTTGGCTGAAATAGCCAAAACAGTGTAATTAGAACAATTATAAGATCAAAGTGTAACGTGTGTGGACTCAAGGTCCCAGAAGGAGGAGATCAATTGGCATTGACACTTTGCGTTGTATATGTGCCACAGCAGTTCAAAAATTTTGCAGTAAGAACTACTGAGGCTTGTATTGTTTGAACCTGTCATAGGCATTGAAGATCTTTTGCTTTGTGGGCGGGGTTCAGATAAAGCCATAACACATTGCTAAGTGGTAAACAAACATAAAAGAGCCAGCTGAGACAGGAGTAGTATACTGATTAAGGATTCACAGTGCGCGACAGGTACCTTGTCATTAAGGGCCACCGACATCCTTAAACTGTCCAAAAGTGAAATAGGTCTGTGGCTTCCTGTAATGACACAGTGTGCACTGGTCTGGCTGAGCATCAGAGGATAGGTTGAACTCGACCATTCTTTGATGACACACGGCTCAGATGTGACATGTGCTGACATGTTTTTCACTTACAAATCAGAGTTTCCATTGCAATGTTGTGGAAAGTTTGTCAGCTGTCGGTACTATTGGTGCATTGCTACTGTTTCCAACATTATCTGAGAACTGAACTGAGCTGGACGATGACATCACGGTTTTCTCCAGAGCGGCTATATATATATAAATGAACTAAATTAATAACTATTTTACAACAAAAATGAACCATCACTGAACTTACTTAAGCTGGACTATGACGCTATTTTTTTCTAGAAACAAACTTTGTTGCGTTATTTTCCTGTAATCACTGTGAAGCTGCTTTGAAACAATCTGTATTGTAAAAAGCGCTACTGTATATAAATAAAGGTGACTTGACTTGACTGTTTCCAGGTTATGTCATCAATTTCAAATATAACAATGTACCCTAATTATGAAAAAATAAAATAAAAAAAAATACACAATTTTACTTGAAGTACTGCATTTGATGTGCTAACAACTCATGTTAAGAACAAGACTCATTACAACACTTTTGAAGATTTCAGAAATCAGAAAATCACTTTAAAACAAGCCGTATCCAACAGTTGTCTCTAACTATAGAATAAACAAATGTAATTTCTACATGAATAATTTAGTTCAGGCAAGAATAAAAAAAATAAAAAAAGTAGATTCTATATTAGTACTTAATTAAAGTGTAAATATCAATGTTGTAAAATTAAGTAAAACCTACCCAACTTTTTGATACCAGTGTGTTCCCATCATGCACTGGGGAATGAATAATTAAGGGATAATTCACCCCCAAATTTTTATTTTGTCATTAATGCCTCATGAGACACAATCGCTTTATATGATAAACGGATTGAATTTAGACTTTCTTGTGTGTTACGCAGCACGTCTGAGCTTCAGCAAGACCAATGAGGTTAATTCTTGTGTTACACAGTACATTTGAGTGTCCACAAGAACCAATGAGGTTCATTCTTGTGTTACACAGTACGTTTGAGTGTTCGCAAGAACCAATGAGGTTCATTCTTGTGTTACACAGTACGTTTGAGTGTCCACAAGAACCAATGAGGTTCATTCTTGTGTTACACAGTACGTTTGAGTGTCCACAAGAACCAATGAGGTTCATTCTTGTGTTACACAGTACGTTTGAGTGTCCGCAAGAACCAATGAGGTTCATTCTCATGTTACGCAGCACGTTTGAGCTTCTGCAAGAGGTTTGCTCTTGTGCGTTAAGCAGGTTCAGTTGAGCTTCTATTTATGTTCGCTGATCATTGTTTAAATGTGAACAAAAGCCTAAATTAAATCTGTTAATTTAAACCAAACCGCTCAATTCATATGGATTAGTTTTGGGATCTCTTAAATCTGCCGTCCGGCATTTTTCCTCTTTGTCGCCATCTCTGTTCGAAATCTGCAATTGCAGTCATACGTGGAATTATCAACTTTACGTGAGTTGTACTTCAACACCCTCGACACGGCACAGCGCGGATGAACACAATGTTTGAGGAGAATGTGAGGCTGTCAGTCACCGCGCCGGTGTGGATACTGGCATTCAGAATCACAGATTATTCTTTTTGGAAGTATGACCAACATAAGAATTTTCACTGGAAAATGTCATCTGAACTAGTAAGAAACATCCACCTTTGTTCTGGTTCTGACATTGCATAAATCACGCTGATTAAATCTAACAATCGCTCATAAGTTATCATATCACGCAAAACCGTGCAAATTATACTTTGTTCTCAAATTATTAATGTTAACAACGTAAGCAAGCATTGCGTGACTACATGTAATGTCCTTCCGATATGTATCCTTATTTTCGCATGGGCCGGTTGCAGTCTCTTTTTTTCTGTAAGTCACTCCGATGTCCGAACGAAGTCTTTTGCATTTTACAGCGGGTGAATCTCTAGTTGTCACTGGTGATTGTCGTTTGAACCGTTCTGGATCCGCCATCAAATTGATGTCTAATTATATCAAGTGCTGTGAGAAAAGGCTATAAATCTCCACCTCCAGCATCCTCACTCGCAATATAGCCTACTAGCCGAGACTCTTCTTTATGTGTACAGATGTGACGTAATGACGCAAAGACATGCTCGAATCTCCCGCGGAAATCCACCAGTACCACTGGAATTAAAAACATTATTACAAGCTTATCGAGCTAAGGCAAGCTTATTTGAATCGAGCTAAGGCAAGCAGAGAGTTTTGAACACTGGCTGGTTATGTATTTTCTCAAATATGTATTTTGGATAATTTTTAACCCCAAAAAAGCTACGGACTGCAGCTTTAATGAACGTTTTGAAGCGTCAAAGTGGAGATGTCTATAGAGTGTACAAAAAGTTATCCGATTTCATAAAAAAGATCTTCATTTGTGTTCAGACGATGAACCAAAGTCTTATGGGTTTGGAACGACACGAGGGTGAGTAATTAATGAGATAATTTTCATTTTTGGGTGAACTATGACTTTAATAAGGTTGCATTTTTCACTGTTTTTCAGCTGTATTTACATGGCTTTCTTATTGCTTTTGTTGTTAAGTTTAGTAACTTGCTGTTTTATGACATCTGGAGTTAATTTTCGAGTACTAAAAATGACACATTCATACTCAAAAATGATCCATGTTATATGTTTGGGAACAGCTCTTCTAACCCTAACTGATGGAGTGTGTAGCTTTTCATTTCTTAAACAACCATGTATGAAGACACATCATGGCCATATTCCAGGATGAAAATGTCAAGATTCGTCAGGCTCAAACAGTGAAAGAATGGTTGTGAGGAGCATGAAGAATCATTTTCACACATGAATCTACTCCTCTGAGTCCAGACCCTAAATTCATTGAAAGTCTTTGGGAAAGTCTTTGATGGAGGAGACTTTTCAGAGTGCTTGACTCTTGCATTGCCAATACAAGATATTGACCAAATATTGATGTAGCCTGGTCCTACCAGACTCTCGTACACATTTCATTTGTACAGAGAGTCTGTCCTCGCTCCATTGACAAGCGTTAACTTCCTTGTAGGCGGGTCCTTTGTTGAAGTTTAAAACTATTGGATCTGCCCAGAGCCACTCTGGATCTGCCATAACCAATCGCTAACGTTTGGTCGTGACATATGTCTACAACTCAAACTAGCGCACCTCAACGTCATTGTTCTCAGCTACTCCCTCTGTTCGCTGATTGGACCGGTAAAAAATTGATCGAAGTACGTATACGTATAGGAGGGCGGAGCCAGGCTAATATTGATGCACCTCTTGATCGAAATAAATATGATGTGGATAAATTTTTACAACTCTTAAGCATTTGTTTATTTAAATCCAAATCGCAACTTTTTTTTTTTTTTTTTGGGCCTGGCCTGGCCTGGCAATGTAGTTTGGACACACATCCGGTTAAAGCACCACCCACCCCTTGGTTTTTTTCCGCATACAGAAACAGATGTTTTCTTTGAAACAGAAACAGATGTTTACTTTGCTGAACACCTCCACAAAAATGACAAATGACAAAAAAGTATGCTAAACATTTATGTTTAAACATTTTGGATATTAAATATGAACATATTTATTTGTTCAAATGCTTGACAAATGAAATTTGAAAAATGCTTGACAAATGAAAGGGACCTGTCTGTAAAGGTGTAAGCAGTCTCAATTAGCTGTGTGTGTTGACCTGTGTTATGAGCTGATTACTAATCACAACAAGTGGTCCCCTCAGTGACCCCTGACCTGTAGTGATTAGACCTGAAGGGCTCTCTCAATGACAAAGACTACGCCACTCCCTCATCAGCTGATGTGCCACCAACCAGTTCCTATACCTGCTGCATTCCACATCACTTCCTCTCATCCATTGTTCTGGGGGGAAGTTATGGATCTCTGGCTGTAAAGGAAATGCATGGTGACTTTGATAAATCATGTTGGCCTAAAAC